ATCTACTATGCGAATAAATATATATAAATAATAGTATGGATGATTATGGACTTGTTCTATCTAGTTTTTTCCCGAGCCAAAGGGAAGACTAATTGGTCAATTTCTAAGGAGTACAACATTGGATCAACACCAATGCACTATCTCCATGGTGTCCACCTCTTCTTGCGCCTTCAATTAGTCAAACTGCAACATATATCCTATACTAGTTAGCACGCAAGCCTAAAAGAAATCGGACTCGCAGGCCCATAATAATAACAATAACAACGGACTTGTAGGTCCAATATAATAAAAAGCTCGCAGGCCCATAACAACAATAATAACAACGGACTCACGGGTCAAAAACAATTAAGGGCTCGCAGGCCCATAAAACAATAAGAAGTAAATCAACCATTCAACACATCCATGTGGTCGAGTCTATAAACATTCATCACATAAATGTTTCCTATGTATAATATCTAATATTATATGCAATGTCTCATAAATCTAGCAATTATAGTCATCAAAACAAATTTAAAATTTTGGATCGAAATAATTAAATAATTAATTAATCATATTAATTAATTAACATAATTGGCGGGCCATTTTAATTAAAATCAAATTTTAACTAAATCCCGAATTAAAGTCCAACTCTAACTCCATAACTATTGGGCGAAGTAATTTAATCAAAATCGAATTTTAATTAATTATTAAATTAGAGTCATATTCTAAATTTTAATTTGCATTGGGAAGTGGTATTAATTGAAATCAAATTTTAATTAATATAATATTAGAGTCCAACTCTAATAAAATTGAATTAATAATTTAATTTAGGAAAAAATTCCCAAATAAAATAAAAATTCAATTAAGGGTCAAAATTAAATATTTAAGTTAAAATCTAATTTTAACAAAACATAAAAGTCGTCAAATTTTAAATAAATTTTAATTTTGGCTCAAAATTAGGGTATGGGTCAAACCCAATTAAAACATCATTTTAAAACCAATTTTAAAATGCAAATTTTAAAACGCCTTTTTGAAATTGCAAATTTGACCCAATTTAAAATTTAACAATAGGGGCTTCATTATTCGTAAATTGCAGAAAAGCCCTCCATTTAAAAATTAGAAATTGACCCCCTTTCAGAAATTGTAGGCGGGGCTTGCAATTACATTAATTGCAATGGAAGCCCCCGCCTCCAACCGAACCCTAAAACCCAAAAAAAAAATGTATTCTTTATTGCTAGCGCCGCCCCGTCCAAATTCCCGACAAGGGATTGCCGCCTGAAAGGCGGTAGCCCACCTTTGCCCTGCCAGTGTCGCGCGGCGGTGGCGCCGACCCCCAAAATAAAAAAAAATTTGTTTTTTTTTTCAAAATCAGGTTTTGAAAAAATAAAATTAAAACTACAATTGCTAGATTCATGGATAAACATGATTAAATCAACTTTTAATTTAATCAATATGTAAATCAATTCCTAACAAATACAAAGTTGGCTCTGATACCATTATTGGGGATTTACTTAAACATGCACAGCAGAAATAAACAGTTTCAATTCTTATTCAGGATTCAGCTTTGTATTTAGATAAGAACCATGATGAGAAATATATATTTTTCTTGATTTTGCAAACTCCTTTGCGTTATTCTTTTCCAGCAACTTGAATCTGCCTCCCACAGCTGTCCAATTGTCCAGCTTCCAATGAAATCCACACAGAGAATAGACTACAACTGCTAGGGTTTTTCCTCTTATGCCAGCAAAAATAATGAAGACCTTATAGATCTCAAACTCTAGCCATGTATTTTTATAAACCCAAATGGGCTCGGCCTGATCCGGTCCAATATTTAATTAATCCATTTAATTAAACCCGGTCCGTGAATTAATTAATCAAATTAATCAATTCGGGGATATAAATAACCAATTCAATTAATTAATTTATCCAACGATTGTTAAATTAATTAATTGGCAATTTTCAATCTTCCAATTCTCTTTTGTGTGCAACCCATTAGGTTCCCGACCACGATACCTAACGACGTGAAATATTATTTTGATCTAATCAAAATTGATAAATTAAACACCCTTTTAATTTATCACAAATTCACACTCGCCATCCCAGATTGACATCTAGCAATGTATCAGGGCAACACATATGACGGAAAATGTCACGTGGTATGACAAAATCAAAACTATTCGTTTACCATGAAACTATAATCCCTTCGTCAATATGATCCGATCAACTACGATATATGGAAGTGTGTCAATCTCGATTATTGATCATATCTTTCATTCTACTATTAAGTCAATATGAGTCGAAAATTCCTTTTCGACTTATATGTATACATTGGCCAAGAATTTCGTTATTAAGTTAATTGAACGAAATGCGGATCACACTCTCTTACTATCTAAGGGTGACGAATCCTCTATTGGTCATTCACAACCTTCATATGGTTCTTGACATACCCGAACGATGTCCTATTAGCGGCGCTTGGCAGAGCAACATCCAACACCGTCAAAGCATGACTGTCCTCATACAAGGCACTATGATGACCTCAAGTCATAGGACCAGTTCCACTACCGAACGTTAGAGATTAATCACTTACACTCAGATAGTTATCCATGTGAAATCTCTTAGCGGGTCTCCAATGTTTTGTTCTATAACAAAACATCCACGTGTTCATTTAAGTGTCACCACACTTTAACTCGTGAGATCAGCTACTTACTTCACAAGTAAGAAATGCCACACGTGATGATCTATCTGTATTAACGATATCCGTATTTCATTATTACTTACGATCACGGTTTATTCAAGATCCAATCATACGTAATTTGTATCTCACAATCACAACTCCTTGTGATTAACAAATCACTTGAACTTGGATTTTCGGACTCTATTATTTAATATTATTTATCACAAAATTAANGACTGTGAAGTTTGGGAAAAGCAATATATCATAAGAATGGATTGCACGATGAATATGGTTCCTCTAGACTATTCAAGAATCGATGGTGAAATAATTTTCAAGAAAAATGATTCTGATCTATATGCTTATGATTGTTCTTTGCAAATTATGAGTAAAGTTGAAGTGAAGAAGGGAAGTTTCCCCTTCAATGGCTGCAACTTGCCTCATGTCAATAGCCTCATCTCGTGGACGAATCCTGTAAAAAGGTGAAAAAGTTTGCCTTCAATGATATGATGCCCAAAATGGAGGTTAGCAGTAGAAAAATGATGTAGTTTATGGTGTTAGTAATTGTCGAGTTTTACGACTATGTCCAGACATAAGTGCATGGTCGACTCCAATTTGTCAAGAATGAGGTTTAGTTTATTGTTGTCTGTACATTCCTGTACGTTGCCTTCTACATATCATTTTGTAAATAGGTGTGCTTTTCATGAACTGTGTTGATATTTGTCTGTCTTAAGTTTTAATATTATGTGAATAATTTTGTGTTCAAAGGATATTAGAACGGTTAGAATTTTAGGCACGTAATTTCAGGACTGGATGGATACCTATTGGTTCATTTGAAGTTTTTTTTACCTCTATTTGGTTCAATTAAAAAAATGATCTAAAATCTAAGTTGAAGTCGGCAATTAAGCTACTTAATTGTCGGAAAATGAGATCCACAACTTTTTAAATGAAAGTTTTATCAATTTTGATCAAAATTTACGAAAATTTTGATTTTTATATAAACTAAATAGGGGTTTAATATCATTCAATTAGTAAATTTTGATTTTTATATAAACTAAATAGGGGTTTAATATCATTCAATTAGATCAAATCGCAACCTTAGTATGATTACTCCCAGTCTATTAACGATAGATGAGATCACTATTCAAATTCGTATAATCAATGATCATCAAATCCATGATTACATTGAAGTTATGCACGTATAAATATTATGTTAGATATATCTATTCACATCTTTGTTTCTAGTGACCGAAGGTCAAAACTCAAAAGTGCTTTTGAAGGCGTTTCATTGTTGTAGAAGCTCGAGTGACTTCATACTGATAACATAAAGATACAATTGGACAGCCCTAACTTATTTTTTCCACTTGGCGAGTTAAACATCCCAATTTCCACTTAACTTTTTTAAAAGTCTCTCAACTGTCATTGAACTTTAAAATATTATTTTGACGCCACTAAACTTTTCAAAGTATTCCCCAACTGCTATTGAACAATACAAGTTATCCAACTTGCCACTAAACTTACCAAAATATTATACATCGATAACTTCATCAAATCTATAACCTTTTCAAAGTGATGAGGGGACAGATGTAATAATAGTTTGATAAGTACAGTGACAACTCGAATAGATTTTAAAGTCTAATGACAACTAAAAATATTTCAAAAACTTTCACTGGCATTTCAGAAATAATTTAAGGTCCCGATTTAGCCGAAGTCCAAACATGCCCGGCCCCGGGTCTTTATATTATACCCCTCACGTGGTTAACGTGGACACCTCTCGGCCTTAATTTAATCGAAAAAACACAAAATTTTAGTATTTGTTTGCATAAAAAATATTTTGAGTTCTTATGTAGGTTGATTGTCGAGGGAGAGTCGATTGACAGCAAAATGGCTTGTAGCGGTTGCTATTCAGTGAATTTCATGGCAGTATCCTCCAATCCAAACAAGCCCTTAACTTCATCTACTCTCCTCACTTCAAAATTATCTTCATCCTACTCGCAAATCCCCTTTTCCTCTTTGAAATTCAATTCGAAATTATCCCCAATCCAGTTGCGTATATCAAAGTCTGCTCCAAATTCATTCGTGAGTGTGTATTCTTTATTTATTTTATTTTATTATTATTATTATTATTTTTTTGTTCCAGTTTGGAATGAAAATTTATGCCGAAATAGGTTGTGGTATCTGGGATTAAGGCAGAGCCGTTGAAGGTAATGATATCGGGAGCTCCTGCTTCTGGTAAAGGAACCCAATGCGAGCTCATCACTAAGAAGGTGATTTTTTATTTTTATTTTTAATTTTTTATATAGTTTTAATGAATTTAATTATTTGATTTTTGCTACTTTTAGTGCTGTTGATATAGGACTTTGCTTGTGTTTAATGATAGTTGAAATCAATCTTTATGATGGGGTTATTCGAGCTACTTATATAGGCCGATTCATTTGAATGAATTGATTAATATAATGCATCAATAGGATGATGCATTTTTTATTTTTAATTTTTTATATAGTTTTAATGAATTTAATTATTTGATTTTTGCTACTTTTAGTGCTGTTGATATAGGACTTTGCTTGTGTTTAATGATAGTTGAAATCAATCTTTATGATGGGGTTATTCGAGCTACTTATATAGGCCGATTCATTTGAATGAATTGATTAATATAATGCATCAATAGGATGATGCATTTTTTGTACTCTAATAAAGGATTTTGTTCATTGTTAAAGCTTATGTCATTTTGAATTGAATCGTTTAAATGAAGAGATATTTCTCTTCCTAGAGACAAAACCATTCAAAGAGACACGTCTAAAACACACGAGGTTTGTTAAAGGGCATGTAAGAGACCTTTGGCCAAGAATTCAATATAAGTCAAAGTTTCAATGAGAGTTTGATAGCCAATTGTGTGGAAACTGCAGAAATGTATCTCGAAATCTTCTTTCTACGTTGCAAATAGCATTACAACATCGTTGGATTTATACATTCATGTCAACAGGATTGATAGTTCAAATGTCATGGTTTTATCTTAAGAAAGAAAACAAAATACAGTATATAAATCTTGGCCCTATAAGCAGTTGGTTTGACCAGAAAATTTGATGATGAAATGAAACCAATATGCATTTTCCAAATACGCTCGTTGATTTTGATTTAGGATCAGTATAAATTTTGAAACTGACTCAATGCTAAACGAGTAGCAATCTAATTATACAGCGCAGCCAATCACACTCAAGTGTCCTTTTTTTAACTTTGTAGAAGAAAATATTTTTGGTTGGCAGTCAACAGTTTGATTTTTTTGAGGCTAAGTCTTATGTTTTGGTCTTCTTGCATTTTAAAGTTTTTGTTGCCCTGGAACAGTTCAAAGAGCGTGGATTTGAATGATACATGTTTTTGCCCCTTTTTTGTTTATTTTCACGATTTTTCTGTTATAATGTCATGCCTGGCTACTTTTTTATGTTATAATCCAATGTGCAGTACGATTTGGTGCACATTGCAGCTGGAGATCTTCTCAGGGCTGAAGTTGCTGCTGGGACAGAAAATGGGAGACGAGCGAAGGAATACATGGAGAAGGGGCAGTTGGTCCCAGATGAAATAGTTGTCACGGTAGCTTTATATTCATACTTCTTATTGTTTCTCTTCGAAATAATATTCAAATTATCAATAAAATATTAGTTAAATGAGAAAGAATTAGCATCTCTCTGTGGTTGTAGATGGTCAAGGAGCGTTTATCACAACCAGATTCTAAAGAAAAAGGCTGGCTTTTGGACGGATATCCAAGGAGCTCGTCACAAGCGACTGCTCTTAAGGGATTTGGCTTCGAGCCACACATTTTCATTCTTCTTGAAGTAAGGTTCTGCTGTTGCTATCTGTACTTAAGGATTAATTAATATTAATATAAAAGTTCTCATCTTAAGAACCGAGAGCTAGCATGATCTTTATCGATTCTAATTAATATTTGCTTTTGCCAGTTACAAGGTCGACAAATTTGACTTCACTTTTTGAACAATTTGTTGCTTCGTCTTGGTTGAGATAGTAATGTGATTATAATAAACTTCTGTCTCTACAGGTCCCTGAAGAGATCCTTGTTGACAGAGTTGTTGGCCGCAGACTAGATCCTGTTACGGGGAAAATATATCATCTAAAGTATTCTCCCCCTGAAACTGAAGAGATTGCTGCTAGGCTTACTCAACGCTTTGATGACACTGAAGAAAAGGCATGCTTCATTTTACGTCAATATCTTGAAACGTTACTTTGAGCTAGGTCTTTATAATGGATTTTCTATTTCAGGTGAAACTGCGTTTGCTCACGCATAACAAAAATGTGGAGGCCGTGCTTTCAATGTATGAGGATGTAACAGTCAGGGTATGTAATATGTTCTTTCCTTTCCTTCCCTATGTAATGTGTTTTTTTCTGAACAGAGCACTAGAATTTCAAATAGATTATTGGAAAGTAAATTTTCCAACCAAGGTCATCATTTTAACTCTCTTGCACAAGCAAATTGGGATTAAAGGTGGTTTCTGTTTTCTATATTTCGTGTTAAGCATATCTGTGCATATATATCTTGAAACGTTACTTTGAGCTAGGTCTTTATAATGGATTTTCTATTTCAGGTGAAACTGCGTTTGCTCACACATAACAAAAATGTGGAGGCCGTGCTTTCAATGTATGAGGATGTAACAGTCAGGGTATGTAATATGTTCTTTCCTTTCCTTTCCTATGTAATGTGTTTTTTTTCTGAACAGAGCACTAGAATTTCAAATAGATTATTGGAAAGTAAAATTTCCAACCAAGGTCGTCATTTTAACTCTCTTGCACAAGCAAATTGGGATTAAAGGTGGTTTCTGTTTTCTATATTTCGTGTTAAGCATATCTGTGCATACAACTTTGTCAAGCTTGAGGTTAATTTTTCTACGTTGCCTCAAGGAAGTGGGGTAAATGTTCCAAAGAAGATTTCTGAAAATTGATTTAGTTCTTGTTCAGTAGTGCTTATTAGCTGTAGGCCGTACAAAATGTGTGGATAAAAAGTAAGTTTGACTAGCTTAAATTACAATTTAAGCTTTACCAAACATGCTTTCATAAACTTGGTTAAGCACCGGTCAGCCTGTGTCTCATGGACTCGTATTCTACTATAGTTGTTTATTTGTTATTATTATGGGTTCTCTTATATATTAATTGTGTCAGTTGCTGCCTCAGTTTCTTCCCTATATTTTCTCTGCTTTAGCTTCCTCCTTTTGCTCCCCCTTTTCTCCACTCTTTATCACTCATGAACCAAAATCATAGTTTCCAGCCTAAGTCGTAGTGCTTGTAATTGTAGCATTCTTTAGTTCAGAAATACTAATGCAATCACACGTCCTTTCCCTATGTCAAATCTCGCTTGTTTACAGATCTGCTTAAAACCTTTTCGCTCGTACATGTTGAATTTTCAGGAAGTTGAAACTTCACCCTTCTTATAGGTTCTCATTGAGGTAGTTGAGTTCCATCTTCCTTTTGCCGCACACATGTCTAGCTTAGTAAGCTCAGTTAAAAAAAGGTTAAAACTTCTCTTGAAAGTGAATAATGGTCCCTTCGCGGTTGATATTTTGGAATAAAGATTGCTTTTATGGGTGAAGTATTTAGCAGATTCTTCCCCTTGCTCTCCACTGATTGTTGTCATGGATATTTTATGGGACGTGAACCAGATTGACGAGTCATTTACTGGAAACAATGTAACTATCCTATTATTGCTACCACTAAGTAAATTAATAACATTTTTGGGAGGCCTTTAAGTACTTATAAGCCATGGATCTTGCAGAATTTTTAGATAATTAGTAAGTTGTTTCTGGATAAAAAGTACGTTTCATCAGCTTAAATTATAATTTAAGCAGTGCCTAACATTGACTATGTTCTCTGTTTGTTAGAAAGTTGATATCTTAATGTGAAATTCCTTTTACTTGGAGCTAAATCGCATCTTCCTCACCCTATCACTCCAAAGAACCTTATTTTTCTGTGGTTGCAGGTGGATGGAAGTCTTTCCAAGGAGGACGTATTTACCCAAATCGACACGGCGTTGAGAAATGTACTTGGACAAAGGCAGGCTCCCATAGGATCAGTGGCAATGTGAAACATCAGAGAAATCAATAAGAAAAAGGTAGACTAGATTAAGGAGGACGCCAATGGGGAGGGTGGAAGGAGAAGGATGTTATTAGAATAGAGATGATTAGTTTTACCCCTCGTGTTCTCTTCTGGCATGTTTGGTAAATTGGACTATACCATATTTGATGGATTGAAAAAGAAAAAGACGTTAAAATTCTTTCCATTATATCATGCACAACTATCCATATTTTGTACTAAAAATGTTCTTGAGGGACTTTATCTTCCCTTTACCTACCGATATGTGGATTGGCATCAATTGTGAGTTAGTGTAAAGAAAAATACCCGATGTACGTTAATATAATGCTTGATTATACTTGCTTTTAGTTTATTTACCTCAATTCTTTCCACTATCATTTATAACTGGATTTATCGAGACAATGGCATTTTACAGGCATATCGACTGCCTAGACCGACTGTCACCTCTATTCGTGCTGATCCACACCCTGAGTTGATCCGCAGATGGGCTCATTGGTGTTCCAAGTCCGACTGGGACACTGCTGGCTGGTTTGAAGTTGCTATTTCCCACAGTAGAATCATATACCACCACTGGTGGCTGATTCGTATTTGAATTAGAGCTAACACAGCCCTAATTTAATTTCTTGATTTTTTAACTTACAATTTAACTCTATTATTTTTTAGTTTTTTATTTTTCAATACATCAGCCGGATTCAAAATTATGCACTGGCTTATTTTCGAGGCGTTTACATTTCATGACATGTTGGGTAGCTGATACATAAATTAAACACAGCTCTTAAAATTTGCCATTCTTAAACCTCTTAGACCAATCAACCAACGTACCAAACATATCATCCCTAACTTATAACATCTAATTAGTGCTGTCTAGCATGTTTTTTTTTTTTTTAAATTTTAAGTTATTATTATGGGTTCTCTTATATATTAATTGTGTCAGTTGCTGCCTTAGTTTCTTCCCTATATTTTCTCTGCTTTAGCTTCCTTCCTTTGCTCCCCTTTTTCTCCACTCTTTATCACTCATGAACCAAAATCATAGTTTCCAGCCTAAGTCGTAGTGCTTGTAATTGTAGCATTCTTTAGTTCAGAAATACTAATGCAATCACACGTCCATTTCCCTATGTCAAATCTCGCTTGTTTACAGATCTGCTTAAAACCTTTTCGCTCGTACATGTTGAATTTTCAGGAAGTTGAAACTTCACCCCTCTTATATTTGGGTTCTCATTGAGGTAGTTGAGTTCCATCTTCCTTTTGCGGCACACATGTATCTAGCTCAGTGAGCTCAGTTAAAAAAAGGTTAAAACTTCTCTTGAAAGTGAATAATGGTCCTTCGCGGTTGATATTTTGGAATAAAGATCGGTTTTGTGGGTGAAGTATTCAGCAGATTCTTCCCCTTGCACTCCGCTGACTGTTGTCATGGATGTTTTATAGAACGTGAACCAGATTAACGAGTCATTTACTGTAAACAGTGTAACTATCCTATTATTGCTACCACTAAGTAAATTAATAACATTTTTGGGAGGCCTTTAAGTACTTATAAGCCATGGATCTTGCAGAATGTATAGATAATAAGTAGTAAGTTGTTTCTGGATAAAAAGCATGTTTCATCAGCTTAAATTATAATTTAAGCAGTGCCTAACATTGACCATGTTCTCTGTTTGTTAGAAAGTTGATATCTTAATGTGAAATTCCTTGTACTTGGAGCTAAATCGCATCTTCCTCACCCTATCACTCCAAAGAACCTTCTTTTTCTGTGGTTGCAGGTGGATGGAAGTCTTTCCAAGGAGGACGTATTTACCCAAATCGACACAGCGTTGAGAAATGTACTTGGACAACGGCAGGCTCCCATAGGATCAGTGGCAGTGTGAAACATCAAAGAAATCAATAAGAAAAAGGTATACTAGATTAAGGAGGACGCCAATGGGGAGGGTGGATGTTATTAGAATGGAGATGATTAGTTTTACGCCTCGTGTTCTCTTCTGGCATGTTTGGTAAATTGGACTATACAATATTTGATGGATTGAAAAAGAAAGACGTTAAAATTCTTTCCATTATATCATGCACAACTATCCATATTTTGTACTAAAAATGTTCTTGAGGGACTTTATCTTCCCTTTACCTACCGATATGTGAATTGGCATCAATTGTGAGTTGGTGTAAAGAAAAATACCCGATGTACGTTAATATAATGCTTGATTTTACTTGCTTTTAGTTTATTTACCTCAATTCTTTCCACTATCATTTATAACTCTATCATTTATAACTGGATTTATCGAGACGATGGCATTTTACAGGCATATCGACTGCCTAGACCGACTGCCACCTCTATTCGTGCTGATCCACACCCTGAGTTGATCCGCAAATGGGCTCATCGGTGTTCCAAGGCCGACTGGGACACTGCTGGCTGGTTTGAAGCTGCTCTTTCCCACACAATAGAATCATATACCACCACTGATGGCTGATCCTTAATTGAATTAGAGCTACGACAGCCCTAATTTGATTTCTTGATTTTTTTAACTTTCGATTTAACTCTATTAATTTTTAATTTTTAATTTTTCAATACATCAGCCGGATTCAAAATTTTGCACTGGCTTATTTTCGAGGCGTTTACATTTCATGACATGTTGGGTAGCTGATACATAAATTAAACACAGCTCATAAAATATGCCATTCTTAAACCTCGTAGACCAATCAACCAACGTAACGAACATATCATCCCTAACTTATAACATCTAATTAGTGCTGTCTAGCATGTTTTTTTTATTTTAAAACTTACATATTCACTTATAAGTAACTTCTTCAAGCTTAGCCAAACATGCTTTTAAGTTTTGCTCTCAAGTTGTTTCCTAAACTGGCACTTCTTTATCATATACCAAGAAAACCATGAACAAATTGAATCTAGGTGTCAATATGCAGTAATCTATAACATAAATAACATCCAATGAGTTAAGCTTCAACATATATTCCTATATTCATTGGTCAGTCCCGACCCGAGATATGGGGTTTATCATCCTCGAATTCTAGCCGTCCAATTATACAAGAATCATAAGATCAGATTAGCATTATACTAGGATCAAGATTCTTTTCAAGAATCCCAGTAAACTCTAGGACAATATCTACTGGAAGCAGATCAAATTTCACCTTTTTCTGGCTCGTCTGTTATCAAGCATGCTCCTAAAGATCAAGTGCAAATAAGAATACATCCAAAGGAAAGAGAAATGCAAAGACAGACGATAACAGGTAGGGAGAAGTTTATTAATGTCTAGGTTAGCAATCGAATCAAAATAGAAATTCACAAAATTTACAACAGCAGGCAAAAAGCTCGTAAGATCTATAGCTGGACAAGGATGTACTTCTAATAAAGCCACAATATTGAGTCGAGCTTAAGTTACATTTCTAAAGTGCAGAAAGGAAACGGATGCCAACACATCTTGATATGTGTGGGTATCGTAAAGCAGAAACATGCTAACAAGTGCTCTAAACTTTTGAAATCTCATCTGTGCAGGCAAAAAAAAACCAAGCAGGTACACTCGAGTTAAGAACCTGTTGCCCCGGGGAAAAGTTCTGATATTTTATTGAAAACATCCATAACCTGGGACGAGCAGTGAGTAGCCGTCGTGTTAGAGCCAACATGAAAAATAAACAGCAAAAGGCTTAATGCAAATTGAAACAGATATTCATATTGATATCCTAAAAAAAAAAAAAGAACTATGAAAAGATTCACAATAAATTTCGACTTACTTCTTTGTCATTTTGATACTTGGCGATACTCAGAGGATTCTGAGAACACTGCAAGAAGGAACAGTCGTCCCAAAGTTCAATAAGATTATTATACAAAACCAGAATATCACTTTGATTGGATAGTAAAATCCCGGCAGGAAGTAGAAGGCGAATAGGTCCACAATCTTGCCGGGAAACCCCATAAGAAAAAGAAAATTTTTGATGGAAGGCAAAATGACGAGAAGCTACTTACATCCATGATAGCTGCTTGAACTCGAGGATTTTGGAATGCCATAGCAACCTCAGGATTGGCCATGATTTTAGAAATGACTTCCTCAGGCGTAAGCCCAATCTGATCTGCAAAATATACCAGGCGTGAAACAATGAGTTCATGTTTGGTGGTGAACATGACTCAACAATATAACAGACCAGATTCGAAATTGTAAAAAGTATTCGAGGATAATCAAAAGTAATTTATCTCACGGCAAAAAGTGAAAAATTTAATATTATCAATTCTATATTAGGTTTACGATAAGAGGCAGGCATACATAGCTAAACTTAAACCAAAGTAAAACTCACCAAACTGTTGCTTAATGTCGGGACTGCTAAGATCAAAATTTTTCAAGGAGTCCATCATGCGGTTGTCCCATTCTGGGCTTCCTCCCATGTTATTTCTGTGAATATTTAACCAAAAAGAAGGTACATAATTAGGATCAAATCAATAATACCTACACCTTTGTATATATAAAAGCTAAATATTTGTGCGTCATATGCATACTGGGATATCTTGGGATATTTTATACAGAAAGGACTTAGAAGTTATACTTACAGCATGTCCTGCAATTGTCGACGATACTGTGGATTTTGTAGCATCCCTTTAGCAGATTTACATTTATTGCAATTAGTACAGTGGATTACATAATATTGGAACATAATATTGGACAGTACTAAGAAAAAGAATTTAAAATCTTGTTCATGGCACTGTCCAGTACGATCGAATACAGCTAAAACACGCAGTTAGGATTCAAATTATACAAAGAAACAGTAATATGCTTGTTTTCAATAGACAACGAAGAAAAGTTTTAGCAAAATTTAGGAGGACAAAGCTTTTTGATTATACGGTCATACTCCAAATATTGGAAGGGGGAATGGCCAACGTCTACAAACTGACCCTCATTTCCACCGTTCCAACCCCCTTCAAAGAAAAAGAAAATAAGTCATCGAAAACAAAAGCAGCAGTTGAAGTTGGTCAAATCTCGCCTGCTGAACGAGAGAAAATCGTTCGCAAATCTTTGTACTTAGAATTATCCAAAATAAGTTTTGGTAAGTCTCTACAAGTAGAAGTTTCACCTTTGCAAAAGAAATGAGTGGATAGTCGTGTTTTAACAAATAAATTCAAATCCTAACATAACAGAAAAGTTTAAGCATACTTAAACTTAAATGGGTAAGGGAAAAATGAACTCACATTTAAAGGTAGTAGGATTCCTCATCTCCTCTGGTAAGTAGCTGAAAGATAAAAATGAACAATAGCTATTAATAATTAAGAAAATGATTTTTGAAATATCAATAATATAGGAGAACTATGCCATGTTAATAGGAAAAACAGTAGGTGCGTGTTCGGCATGCAGCACTGGACATAATAATGAACAACATTTTGGCTTCTTTTTCTCGCTTAATACTGTTAAGTACTATCCAATTTGCCCTACCATACCAAACATGCCATAGGTGTCTCACCGACTTCACAAGCTGTCTCCTATTCAAGCTGAAATTTCCAAAAAATAAAACCCAGACGCAATGTCTTTTTTTTTTTTTTTTTTTTTTTTTTTTGGTAGGCAACTCCCACAAAGAGATCTTATAAAGGGTTTGATTAAGCTCTTGTTTGATTCCCATTATTTTCAAAATACATTTCTCTCTCCTTTTTTCAATCACACATTCTTCAATAAAATAATATTACAAATTCAAAAAAAGTCCTTATTTTTTAACCACACATTCTTCATCAATCTACTATTCTAAAATGCATTCTTAGATTATAATGGGGCTCAAACATGCTCTAAATATAACAAGTTGTTTTTCACACTCATCTTTAGAAATCTTTTTCAGTAGATCTATTTTACAAAATTTTGAGCAGCAATTATTCCCAGGACATGACAAGTATTTTTCAATTGAATGTAAAATTTCTCCAGACTCCAATGGAAATGAAGTAAAAATGCGAAAGGAAATTCTAAACTGCATAATTTGCAAAAGAAAGAAAAAATGAGAATAATGAATTTAATTCTAAACCATTTCCATCAGGTGAAGATACAAATGTCATTATTCACGTATCAAGTGCTTAAATCAATCATCGTTGCATTGTGAACAGAAATAGCTAAAATGTCAGAATGATGGCATATGACCTAAAATATTGAGAAACATAAAATAAGGTTGAAGGTTCCCTTACGGATAAACCATTTTCTGTACAGTTGGATCTTCCATCATTTTCTCCAAAGCTTCCACTGACAAGAGGGGATTTGTTTCTTCTGCCCATTACAAGAGAAACAGCTTATTTGGGTTCATTTAAGTCAAAACTGAGGACAAAATGAACCTAATCCCCCCAAAAATGGAATCAAGCAATACATAGATTAAAAAATTTATAGCACTTTCTGTGGAGAGGATTCGAAAGCACTGGACTTTATTACGGAAGAAAAAGAAATTAAAAACTTGTCCATTATAGTGTCTAATCCTGACTGCACTACTATGTAGCAAGCATGCACTTATATTTAGGCAAGCACAAATGCGTGAGAAGCAATGAATATAACAAGAACAGTATAGTCAGACTCGATGCATAACAACCATCCTAGATGAATCTCCATTTGCAAGCTGTTGTAAAGCAAACTAAAATATTTCAAAAAAAAAAAAATGCTGTGACATGAGGAAAGGATATAGCCCCCGTTTGATCCCCATTAAATTCAATTACATTACATTCTATTTTTCTCTCTCCTATTTTCAACCACACAATCTTCTATAAAATAATATTACACGTAAATCGAAAAATTTTCCTTCTTTTGTCAACCACTCATTTTTCTAAAAAATACTATTTCCCCCATTTTCATTTTCAGAAAATGGGGGCCAAACGGGGGCATAATTTCATATATTATGTCAGCAAAATCATTTATTCAAATATATTAGTTTGATACAAACTCAAATTCATAAACATTATGTCAGCACAATTTTTACATGTCCATCAAATATATCAAAGCACACTCCTATTTTAAACGACAACAGTTAATACAACAGCCTTCCTCATATACAATACGATGAATAATTAGTTTAATACACCTTCACATTGTTGAGGGCACTAACAAAATTGGTCTGCACATGAATCAGCCTTTAACTTATTTGCACATGGAGATTAGTATAAAATTTTAATTTCTAGTCATATGTAACTAACGTATACTCTATGAACATTCTTATTGTTCTTCAAAAGAACAAGAAGATCAATCAGAAAATAGGAATATACAGAGAAATTTAGCAAAATCCAGCATGAAAAAATTCCCATTAAATTACAAAAATATTATTCAGTGAAATAAATCAGGCTTATTGAACTGTAAAAACTATAATCAGTCTCCACAATGCAAGAGAATCACATCTTACAAGGTCTGCACTAAAAAATAGATAAATTATTGCAAATGGGATTACTATAATGATGATAAATGAATTCCCAACTTACTGGTGGAGGGACCTTCTGAAAAACTGGTTCCTCGGTTCGCAGCAGATCCATTTTCAGAAACCTTTGGAGATGTCCAGATAATTAAAATGGTAATAATTTAATCATAAATCATCACAGCAGCCATAAATGAGAGTTCAACTCACTTGCTGGAAAGGCTCGGGATCCTTTGGTGCATCTGTCTGTATCGATTCTTTGTAATTCTCAAAAGCATTTTTTTGGAATGTTTCTTCTGGGGAAACATCTACAAAAGCTGCAAAAAAGAAGATGGTGATGACAAAGACAACGATTCAAATCCATAGTATGATAAAACCTCAGGAGTAGCCGTTGGTATTGGGAAAATGTCAATGGTAGAGAAATTAAAAGAGGTTGTTACTTGGATGCAAAATTAATAAAAGTCCCACCCAATAACAGAACAATAGGAAAGATTTTCATTTCCTCTTGTCAGAAGTATAAGAGTCGCTGCTTAATGTACTTAAGTTAATGTCAGCAGCAGAAAGGAATCAATAAATACCATATTTCTTTGGTTCCTTCTCTGGTTCTACAGTCTCTTTGACATCTGCAGATGGAGGGTCCTCCACTTTGGTTGCAGGTACATCAACAGTTACAGATTGAGATGCAGCAGATGTTGAAGTCGAAGTTGCATCTGATGTTGGGTTTGTGGGTTGGGGAAATGGGAAAGGTGACCCAGGCGAAAAAGCAGCATTACTGAATTGATTATTTTGAGTATTCATCTGTCCCATCAATGTCTTGAAAGCTTGTTGCATAGCATATTTCTGCAAGAATGAGATATGTGCAGTTAAGTCAGAGACATGAAAAGCAACCACTGTTTTATCGATTCCAGAAATAGCTAAGTGATTGAATCGACAAATATGCATGTGCTATAAAGATGCATGTGACTTTGGCCTAAAAACTCACTATTATGTTAAGACTGAAAAGTTTGTTTTGAGCAAGATGAACAAATGGACCATTACAATTGTCATAAAGCACTTCAAAGTATCAAATCAGTCCTTTCCACCAGATCTCAACAGATATAATTAACTCCATCTTAGACAAACAGGCATCACATTTTCTCCAGATCAACTAAGTCCTTAGCAATAAGGGGCAAGTAGTCTCATCTTATCTTTAGAAGGAACTACCCTGCATAACAACTCCACCATTATTGCACTTAAGTAATGCAAATTTGTGTTTTACCATATAAATGAATCCTACAAACTCCTGCCAATGTACAAGTGAATGCATTGCATGCCACACATTGATCCATTGAAGCACCTTTCAACCCTATTGAACCTAGTGTATCCACTAATAGTCCAGTAGCACTGCACTTGGGGCTGAAATAACCTCATAGTAAACTGCAAAATCCTTCAGAGTTGATAACTCACTCTTTGAACTCACATTCTATCCTTCACTCTAGAACATTACCCATTCAAAATTTAGTTTTACAGCATGGTGGTGAAGTGGTGGAGAAAGATTGGACCAGACTCATTTCAAGCATAAGCTACACTTGGCAGCCTTGCATCAAGTTATTTTCTTTTCTTCACATACAATTTCCAGAGAAATCCTGCCTACTCATTGTGTGAAGACAAGAAGTTGTTCCCTAAGTATGTGCATGTTTGGTTCTGATTTTTCACCCCAAAAATTAATTTTTTTGATCATTATTTCCCTAAGTCAGCCGTAATCACTACTGAACAAGCCCATATCTTATGCTACAAACTTCTAGCAGTTTTCATCAGAAAACTAACATGACACAGCTTTGATGCAATCATGTCAATATCTTTTCTTTGATATGCAAAATTTCCATCCTAAAAAACCCTTGGACGATCACATGTTAAACCCTCCATGTTATGCATTTGCCACAACAAAAACCTAGATCCACCATACTTCCATACAATTTCATGTGAAGCCTAAATCAATTATCAACCACACTTTCCTTGAATTCAGTACTGAACTGTTAATAATTGCATTTGACATTGTTGGAAGGCTTGTTAATAAGGTATGCACCAGCAAACCAACATCAAAGTTCATATGAAATCTTTGTCGAAGATGACAACACTACAAGACAGGTCAGAATTCATTGTCTGTTTTAATGTATGGCAGATCATTATTTTTCCACAAATCTAAAGACTGCTTATGAGGGTTAAAGGTTTGCCCAACAAAAAAAAGAAATAACTTGTTGAGTTCTCTAAAAATATTGTACTCAACAATGCATTATGCCTAAAAGTCTATACAACCAATCTTTCAGGCAAAAGACATGCTGACAAATGTTTCGTTGATCTATGGGAAGCTTAAAGCTGATGTAATGGACAAGTTAAACAAGTTTTCACTCAAAACTAAGATTACTGGCCTGAATTTAGTAATGTTTATATCAATAACTAAGAAAGTTCACAAAAGACACAGCTTGATGAGTTTTGTAGAATAAAAACAATGCCCTTTCAAATCAACTGTTTGCCTATCAGTTTTCAAAAACTCAAAGAAGTATGCAACAAGAAAAATTATGAAGCACACTTAGCTCAGGGAAGAAGTTACTCGCCTTTAGGTATGTAGCCACCTGCAATGTAATAAAAATGGTCAGAAAGAAATCTAAGATATCTCCCATGAAGTAGAAAAAAGAGAATGATGTTAAGAACCAAGTCTTTTAAGAAGAAAAAACAGGCAATGTCCTCTTACTTACCCAAGAAAAAAGTGCTGAGAGGCCAACACCAACTCCAATCCAGAAAAGAGGTGACCCCCTATTTTGAGAGAGGAAGTGTCATACAACATGTTAACATCCAAGAAAAACAGAGATTCAATTCTATCATCGGTAACCAAACCCACTCCCAGTAATCACACTACAATAAGAACAAAATAGAGGGAAACATTGAGTCACTCTGTTCATGTCTATTAGTTTGAAAAAATGAAATTTGTGACATGTCAGTCTAATGAGTGAAAAATTGCCAACACGAACACATATCACCAGAAATGTGGATTACTATGAGGTGAGCCGTGAGAGATATTTACACTTGAGACGATGGAGGAGGCATGGAAATCTGTGGATTTACACCAACTGAAGATGTTTCTTGGCTCTTTGAAGTAGTAGTGCTTGCAAAACTGTCCCTCCTAACTTTCTCCAATGCTGCATGAGGATCAGAAGAAAAGGATGAGCAGCAGTAGAGGAAAAGACACTGCAGAATAGCAGTAATGAATAATAAAACATCAAATCTTTTGCTACGAGAAGTCGCTAATACAACAAGAAACATGAAAAACATAGTTATAGAAAAGTGATAGCTGCTGGTCATCATGTAAATTGGTGTTCATAGCAGTTATAACACCACGTTATGCACATGTTTCTAATCTACTTAATTAGAAACATTTATAAAAGCGTGTATCTCTATCATGTACTCTTAGGAAGAAAAATCAGTATGAGCGTATTTGGCTCAGCTTAACTTCGTTTCCAGACATTTTTGGATTACTTAGGGCCCATTTGGTTTGTGTTTCAATTTCCAACGTTGAGTTCATTTTCAATTTCTTGTTTTGAGAGTCTGTTTAAAGATTGTTGAAAACTAGAAAATATGTTTAATTTGAAATTTTTAAAAATTAATTTATGACATTTTATTTCATAAATTAGATTACTCAGTAAAAAATAGAAAAAATTTATGTTAATATTATCAAGTATATATATATATATATTTAAAGTTGGTGAATTTTACAATATTTTTTCTCGTTATAAAAGTATAATAAAAACAAATAATAAATTGAGTTCAAAATATAGGAAATAAGAATAAAAATTAATAACATGGACTAAGAATATTTTTATCAATGTTCGTTTAAATTTTTTTAGAATTTTTATGTACATAATTATTAAGAGCTTGAACTATTTTTATTTTTATAATTTTCATTTTTCTATAAATTTTTATAATTTTATGTTCAGAATTTTTATTTTTTATTTTATTTTTCAAATAAATTTTTTTTTTTAAATTTTTAGAATTTATCAATTTTATTTTTTGAATTATTTTTTCGAGATTTTTAAATTTTATTTGATCGAATTTTATTTTTTATTTAAATGCTTGTTTTCTATGTTTTGAGTGTGTTCAAAATTTTCACTAAAAACATTCACAACATCAAAATTGTATTTTGATTTTTATGTTATAAATTTATCCTTATTTTCAAAAATGCAGTTTAGAAATACCGAACCAAACACGTTTTCAATATTTTGAAAAATGTAAAAATTGAAAACATATTGAAATTAGTGAACCGAACGCACCCTTAAATATTTTACTTTGTAAGTAAAAAAGTTGCTTATTTTGCAAATTAACTCTTACCTTAATCTCAAATCAACTTACTTATTTCCAACCTTGAGCAATTAAAATATTATCTATATTAAAACTTGCCTATAAGTTAACATTTTTAGCTTAGCCGAGCATGCTCTAAAGCCAAAAATAAAGTCATTGGCAATAAAGTTAAAGCCTAATTGTATGTGAAGAAAATGCTCAAAGAACTAACTAATCCAGTATCTAGATGTGCCTTCCTCCATTTCAGAAATAAATCTATTATCACGCAGCATAAACTTGTGTATACCTAAGTCTAGACAAATCATCAGCACCAAGGAACACGGATCAAACTAACCAACACATATACATAAATTCTTTAACTCGTTATCACATGCCATGCAGGTCCAGAAAGAACATTTTCAAAAGGATATTTGTAATCCTGACTATTAAGTTTCAGGGTTGAGAGCTCTATATAGCTAGTTACACTATTTACATCATTTCTCTTCTGGTTGTCACGATGAAAGAAATATTAACAAACTCTCATCCATAATCCAATCTTCTCCAAATGTTCAACCTTTGTTCAAAGATTCTAAATGTCTAACATTAAAGAATCTCAATAGAGTGAAATCCAATCCAAATCAAAAGCATACTTTAACAGAATATGAGTAAAGAGAAAACAGGTATGCTCATTTAGATACAGAACATAATCAAGGTTATCAGGTATATAGGCTCCATTGGTTTCACTTAAGCATAAGAATTAATTGCACAAATGGCAATACAACTATCTTCAGGGTGATAATTGTGGCAGTTCTCTATCCCTAAAAATCCAGAATCCTAGCAATACAAGTGCTGGCTCCAAGAATCATTTCTACCCTTACCATGACCACCCCGTTGACTTATTACAGAAGGGACATTATTTATTATGTATGTTGATACTTAAGCATTGTTGAGCTAGATGCTTTATATGGTCTTAAAGCTAGGTTTTCACTGGTGTCGACATTTTTTCCTTAAACATACTAGATTTTTAACCAGTTTGATCTGCATCTTCTTGTGCAAATGGAGATAGATTATCTACAGTAATAGCAAGGCTGTCTTCAATACCAAATTCCCCAACGGTCACCTGCAATGTCACAGCCCAAAACTACTGTTTTGAGACAAGCACCACTGACTTAGTGCATGGAAACACAAAGTTCTCTTGGCACCAATAAAACCAATACCAACCATCTAGTCTCAAGGACATCATGAAACAAATGGACTAACCTAAAATGTACTAAACCTACAGTTCCTTTTTTTTTTTGTTAGAGAAATTTCTTTTCTTAACTTCTTTCTTTTGAAAACATTTTCAACTCATTCAACTATGGAGTTATCCAATCTCTAGTTAAATAAAGAGATAATGCAGTAAAGAGCAAAAGTCATCCATGAAGCAAACAAAAGGGGAACAAATGCACCAGTTTGAATTT